GCCTCTTCCCTGGTCGTTACTAGATCCTCTCTCTCTCCCTTCTCCATGAGCTTTATCGAACCTCTTCTTAAAGCTATGTATGGATCCTGCTTCCACTACATCACTCTCCAGATTATTCCACTTCTTGACAACTCTGTGACTAAAGAAATACTTCCTAACATCCCTATGACTCATCTCAGTTTTCAACTTCCAGTTGTGGCCCCTTGTTGCAGTGTCCCATCTCTGAGACACTCTGTCCCCAAGCCACCTTGTCAATTCCTCTCAGTACAGTGGACCCCCGGTTAACGATATTTTTTAATTCCAGAAGTATGTTCAGGTGCCAGTACTGACCGAATTTGTTCCCATAAGGAATATTGTGAAGTAGATTAGTCCATTTCAGACCCCCAAACATACACGTACAAACGCACTTACATAAATACACTTACATAATTGGTCGCATTTGGAGGTGATCGTTATGCGGGGGTCCACTGTATTTTATATGTCATTATCGTGTCCCCCCTGTCCTCCAGTGTTGTCAAGTTGATTTATTTTAACCTCTCCTGTGTGTGTGTGTGTGTGTGTGTGTGTGTGTGTGTGTGTGTGTGTGTGTGTGTGTGTGTGTGTGTGTGTGTGTGTGTGTGTGTGTGTGTTTAACCACGGTTAATCTCTACACATATACCAACTTAAAAGTTCTCCAATCATTTAAGAATTAATAATGACTTTACTGTCCTCCAAGGAAAATAATATTTACCGTAGTTACCCAAGGAAACGTTTATTTTTTTCTCAGTTATACCCTCACCCTTAAAAAAAAAATAAAAAAAATATTTGAGTTACCCAAAGAAAGTTGAAATTCTGGAGCAATTCAGAGAAAAAAAAATAGATTTTTTTCAAATTAACAATTTTATCCTCTTTATTTACCTCGTTTTTTGCGAATCTTTCAGAATTTAGATTTTTATATCAGGACAACCTTCACGGAAGAAATTGCAAATTGATATTTTGTGTTTTTTTGCGTAAGTTTATTCTCTCTTGTAGCAGCAGATGTTGTAGTATTTTAGATGTAGTTTTAGTCGTAATAGTTGTAGATGTTGTTTTAGTCGTAATAGTTGTAGATGTAGTTGTTTTAGTCGTAATAGTTGTAGATGTAGTTGTTTTAGTCGTAATAGTTGTAGATGTAGTTGTTTTAGTCGTAATAGTTGTAGATGTAGTTGTTTTAGTCGTAATAGTTGTAGATGTAGTTGTTTTAGTAGTAATAGTTGTAGATGTAATAATTGTTGTAGATGCAGTAGAATTGTTGTATTAGTAGTTGCTGAGGTTTTGCTTGTATGTGGTAATAGTAGTGACTGTGATGGTAGTAGTAGTTGGTGCTGTAGTTTTAGTTGTAAATGTAGTAGTAGTAGGTGACCTTTAACATGCATTTGTATTAGTAGTTATTGTGGTGGTAATAGTAATAGGACTAGTCATAGTAGTTATTGTCATAATAGTAGTAGTAATCGTAGTAGTAATCGTAGTAGCAGTCGTAGCAGTTACCGTAGGAGTAGCCGTAGTACTTATCGTTGTAGTAGTGTTAGTAGTAGTAGTAGTCGCAGTAGTTATCGTAGCAGTAGTCGCAGTAGTTATCGTAGCAGTAGTCGCAGTAGTTTTTCGTAGCAGTAGTCGCAAGTAGTTATCGTAGCAGTAGTCGCAGTAGTTATCGTAGCAGTAGTCGCAGTAGTTATCGTAGCAGTAGTCGCAGTAGTTATCGTAGCAGTAGTCGCAGTAGTTATCGTAGCAGTAGTCGCAGTAGTTATCGTAGCAGTAGTCGCAGTAGTTATCGTAGCAGTAGTCGCAGTTTGTTATCGTAGCAGTAGTCGCAGTAGTTATCGTAGCAGTAGTCGCAGTAGTTATCGTAGCAGTAGTCGCAGTAGTTACCGTAGCAGTAGTCGCAGTAGTTATCGTAGCAGTAGTCGCAGTAGTTATCGTAGCAGTAGTCGCAGTAGTTACCGTAGCAGTAGTCGCAGTAGTTATCGTAGCAACAGTCGCAGTAGTTATCGTAGCAGCAGTCGCAGTAGTTATCGTAGCTGCCGTCATCATCACAACTACAAACACAACATAAGATATAACATTTAATAAACTCAACATACACATTTCTCGTGACCAAACAAATATATTACCGAAAAAAAACGTACAAAGAGCTCTTAAAATATTAAAAGGCTTCATAACATGCAAAGGCAACATTCAACTAATATTTACCTAACTAAATTCTCAAGATTTTTTTAACATTTACTTCGAAAGATAAATGTTTATATAAAAAAGCTAGACTGTGTTTACACTTGTAAATGTAAATGTGACTGACGTTACTAAGATATATATATATATATAGTGGTACCTCGGGTTACGAACAGCTCAAAATTCGAACAATTATGTAAATGTATTTATGTAAGTGCTTCTGTAAGTGTATTTTTGGGGGTCTGTAATGGATTAATCTAATTTACATTATTCCTTATGGGAACAAATTCGTTCGGTATCGCCACTCGTACAGCTTTCTGGAACTAATTAAGTTCGTGTCCCGAGGTACCACTTTATATATATATATATACACTGAGAGATATTCAACTCTCTGAATATTAAAGAATGGATTTATTACACCAACAAATCTACTGAGAAAGATTCGGGAAATATAGTGAATGTAAGTTGCAGTTCGTAAGATTAAACAGAGAATCTTACGTGTTCGTGATACAGGAGTGAATATAATTCCAGTGGTCATTATGATCGTTATGTGAAGTTCATTATCATTATCTTGCTAGATTTAATATATTATCTTGCGTATTGTTGATGCAGAGAGAACGATTATCACTTCATTATAAATGTCACTATTATTATGTCAGCATTTTCATATCATCTGTTATCCCTCTTATTTCTACCTCTCCACTAAACCTTATTTATTACTTCCTGCACCTTCTCCTCAATCTTCATTTTCACCCCCACGCGAAAATCTCGCTGGCCCAGGCTGCCTGCAATTGTTTACGAGAGAACCATTCCCGTGGCCACCGATGGCTTAGCAGCGATTGGGAATGAAAGAAAGAGTGGGAATGAGAGGGAAATAAGGAGTGCAAATCATCACTTAAATATATCTGGAACCGTGTTGGGTATCAGAATCTTTTTCATTGAAGGTCCGTGAACCTAATTACTACAGTGGCAAAGAGGGTTGAATTAAGGCGTCTGGAGAAATTTTCACCTCTGGATTGCGTTAGAATTTTTGCCACTGGCTGCTTAAGCTCTGGAAACATGCCTGTGTGAAGCCGAATTTGAGCAATAGCCCAAAGCTAAGCAAGCGGGGGTCTTCCCTGCCGTAGGTGTGTCGGAAGAGCTGTGGAATGACGCAGGAGAGACACCAAGTGCAAAACGAGCTCTACACAGAGCGAAATGTCCCAGTAAAATCTTTTTCAATATGATCTCTCCTTTCAAAACTGTCACAGTATATATATATATATATATATATATATATATATATATATATATATATATTTATATATATATATAATATAATTATATATATTGTCGTGCCGAATAGGTAGAACTTGCGATCTTGGCTTAAATAGCAACGCTCATCTTGCCATATAGGACAAGTGAAAATTTGTGTATGCAATAATTTCGCCAAAATCATTCTGAACCTAACGAAAAAAATATATTTCACTGTGTTTGTTTAGTATTAAATTATTGTAAACAAATCTAAAATATATTTAGTTGGGTTAGGCTAAAATAAATTGTTCTTGTTATAATAAGGTTAGGTAAGTTTTCTAAGATTCTTTTGGTGCAAAATTAAATTTTTTTACATTAACATTAATGAAAAAAATATATCTTTAAACGTATAAGAGAAAATATTAGAAAAAACTTAATTTTAAATGAGTTCTTGCTAATTGACCAGTTTTACATATTCGGCACGACATAATATATATATATATATATATTATATATATATATATATATATATATAATATATATATATAAACACCGATATATTCTCACACCTCGCGTGGGTGTTTCACCAATATATATCAACAATATATTTTTTTCCATTCTCCAGTTTGCCTGTGAAAGATATTTTTCGCTTTTGACAAAAAAAATATAGTGAGCTACCTCGCAGGCAGCTACATTCCTGGCTTGGAGTAATCTATTAAAACAATCTCGAATTTGCTCTACAGAACTGTAGATCCAATATCTGTGTATGTATGTATGTATATATGTATGTATGTATGTATGTACACCATTTTTTATACCACATCTGCTGTCTCTCACAAGGTAGAATGACAGAATCAAGGAAATAAATTTATATTAATTCAGTTACCCATGTTTCACTCGCTTATGAAAACGTTTGGTGCCTCTTCTCTTAACCCATGAGCTTAATATATCACCTTTCATCTTCCGCAGGTTCAGTCTCTGGTTCCCCTCGTTCTTCATAGACCCATGTGACGACACATCCATTTGCAGATATCTAAATAAATTGACTTACTCGAATCTGATATTCAACCTTCCTTCAAATCTGATATTCCACTTATCATTCTCAATTTTTTTTAATGTGTTTTACTCTCATTATTTTGCTCTTCCTACGCGTTCACTTTCTATTCTATTTCTCTCTCTCTCTCACTCTCTCTCTCTCTCCCGTCGACCAGCCTTTGAATTTGCGTTTGTAAGCACAGAAGCAGTAATAACACTCGTAACTTCCCCTGACGTGTCTTCTGAGGTTACATCTGAACACGGCTTCAATTTCCTTATTTTTCTTCAGGGCAATTTCAGGACGGTACTGCCACCCTTGGGAGATGTAAGTCTCTCCAGCCGCTAAACAGCGACACCCAGTTTTGTTACTTATACTGGAGCCTGTATACAACATGTATATATATATTTTATATATATATATATATATATATTATATATATATATATATATATATATATTATATATATATTATTTATATATTATATATATATATATATATATATAATTTACTTTAATCCCAATAAAACAGGGATTAACATAGTCCGATAATGTATATACCTTGGAAGGTATTCACAACTAGGAGAATATACACTAAGCATTTATGGGCTTGGTGAGAGCAGGTCTGACACTGGAACTGCTACCACCAGGGACGCGGTTCGATTCCCCCGTCCATCTTTTTGTTTATTCATTGACAGGCATTGATTACGATTTGAATATATAATTTTGAGAAATATACACTTTTCAATGTATATACGCTCATAACCATACACTTTTTGTTATGCATGGATAATGAGGATTATATACATTTCAGAGTATATATATGTTGAGAGGTATATATCTCTTAGTGTATGTGTATATCACACATACATACACAAATGTATAAAACATGCCAAGTGTTTGCTGACAAGTGCCTATGGGAACTAGTAACTTCTAATATTACTACTACTACTACTACTACACATACACACACCACACACACACACACACACACCACACACACACACACACACATACACACACACACACACACACACACACACACACACACACACACACACACACAGCACCATCAGCAGCTGTCAAGCCGCGGCCAAGCATGTTACTTTAGGAAATTACGACCCTGATTGAAGCTTTACTAAGACCATTTATCCCCCCCTCTCTTTCTCCCCTTCCCTCTCTTTCTCCCCCTCCCTCTCTTTCTCCCCCTCCCTCTCTTTCTCTCCCTCTCTCCCTCTCTTCAGCCTCTTTCCCCACAGAGAAACAAACCACAAGAGGCTACCCTTGGGTCAGTCTCATTACATTCTTCTCAATAAGCTTTTGTGTATTCACTATTCCGCTAGTGTGAGGTTAGAAGGCTTCCTTCCTTAACGACCAGCGTCCTATGCAGACGTCATTAGGCCAAGAGCGTCCCTTTTATTGTCTCTACACGTGGTCATCTGTCAGCTAGTCAGGGACACGAAAGAAATAAACGAAAGGCTACCTGACCGTAACACAAGTGTGTCAGTGTAGTGTGGAACAGTGTGTAGTCAGTGTAAGTGTATGGGGATCGTCAGAGTGGGTGTATGGGTGTAATGTCAGGTGCCTTGTCAGAAATAGATAATTATTTTTCAGACGCAGGCAGTGAAAGTCATAGAGAAAAAGCATGGAAGAGGGAGAGGGTAAAGTTAATATTTGTGGTGATTTTTAAGTGGAAGGAAGCAGCAGTAGCGAGACAGGACAGGGAAAACCTTGCCTGCATACATACGAAAATATACAATTAATAATACTTAAACTACATTACCTCGTTGAAATCTGTTCCTTGGAGAAAGTGAATCAGAGAATTGACGTTCTTGGGTGATCGTCATGCAGGAGAGTGTCTGCTGTGAACGGAAAATGGTGCCGTTCACGCAGAAGGAGACGGGGAGCTAGGAAGGTTGTGGAGGTGGCTGGAGATAAGAATATATGGAATGGGAAGGATTCTGCTGAAGAGACATATCGGAGGAAACTGCCACGCGATGCAAGGTTGGGTAAGTGACCTGGAGACACACGTGCTAGTACAAACCTCCTTACAACCATTACCACGGTATAGCTGTCAGTGACTACAGTCTGTACAACTGTCAGTGACTACAGTCTGTACAACTGTCAGTGACTACAGTCTGTACAACTGTCAGTGACTACAGTCTGTACAACTGTCAGTGACTACAGTCTGTACAACTGTCAGTGACTACAGTCTGTGCAACTGTCAATGACTACAGT